CTGCTAACACTTTGACCTATCGTATATACAGGTCCCTCCTGAAACTCAGAAAAGACGACATCGACATCCGCGACATCTCGCTGGACAAGATGGAGTAGAGGAAAGGAGAGCAGAGGCAACAGCCATAGAGATGGACATTGAGGCCTCTGCTCCACAACCTCAAGACACAACCACGACTACCAAGCCTAAGAGGAAACGAGGGGATAGAAAAGCAAATCAATATCTAAGGCATGCTATGTGATAACGGAGGTCGGGCCAGTAGGGGAGATCCTTGAGCCAAAGGAATTAAGAGAATGATTCCGTAATGCGATCGGGGCCCTAGTAATAGATAAAATGAACCCAGCAATCCCTAACTGGAAAGAGGTACTAGAGAAGAAAAAGGATGAACTACGGGATAGTCAGTTGAAGCTCAATTTTAGATTTCTGGAAGGTAAGCACGAACTGGTAAAAAATGCTTTTAGGATCATGGGAGAGTCATTCCGACATTGGAGGTCGGAGCTCAACAAGAAGTATATCCAAAAGGGGTTAACTCCCTTCAATAAATTCGGCAACATAACTCCTAGTCAATGGGAGGAGCTCGTGGCTCAGAAGACTTCACCGGAGGCATTGGAGCTCAGTGCTCGTAACACCGAGCTGGCGAAGAGGAACAAACACCACCATCATCTAGGCCCTGGTGGCTACTATGCCAAGGAAAAGCAGTTTAGGAAGATGGATGAAGAGGCCGCAGCTGCTGGGAATATCGATGTGACAAATTTGAAGGTACGCTCAAGGAATTGGATATATGCGAGGAGTGCAGAATTATCCGACGGTAATCTTAAGTTTGATAAGCCAGAGACCCAAGAGGCAGTATCAAGGATACTAAAATATGTTGAAGATAAGGAGAAGGGCTCATTCAATCCTTCTAGAGAGAGATACGAGCTTAGCCTTGGCTTGGAAAACAAGGAGCACACAGGCCGCACCAGGGGGCTAGGGAAAAGGACGACATGGAAGCACGGATTCGAAGAGGACAGGCACATGTATAAGAAACATGACAGAGACCGAGAGACTAATCTTGAGCTCCAAGTAAAGGCTCTAGTTGCAAAGGCGCTAGAGGAGCAAGGACTGTCTACGAAGCCACGAACATTAATGACGCCGCTAGGAGAACTGACATTAGTTGGCAGCCCTCCGAAAGTTCCTAGCAGCTAAGGTTCCACTACAGCCACAACCCCCATTGATCGCATATGAGAACCAACTAGTTGCACCTTGGTGTTTCTCAGCAGATGGCAGAACATTGTGATGGAGGTGGCAACGGGTGTGGCACATCCTCCCGATGGCTTACACCACAATAATAAGATACCGCCGGACTACACTAGGGTTGAGGTGCATACCATGAAGCCCGAGTTCATGCAGTGGAGGATAGACTATGCAACTCCCGAGGGGCTGGTGTTACTTAGAGACGTAATGGGGCAGTTCCTCCTCTGGCACAAACGGGACATTATATTGACTGCTTCTTCACTGCCTCCCCCTCTCTCAAATTTGGAGCGAGTTGTTGAGGACGAAGAGATATTTTCACTGTCTCATGACTACCACATTCCTGAGATGCCATATTCTTCCCCGCCTCCTAGCAAGCATGTGCCTGATAAGCCACAACCTTCTCTAGCTCGTACCGAGCAAGTGCATGATGAGATGCCACAATCTTCTCAACAAGCGCAACCGATACATGAACAACGAGTGCCTCCTGAAGAAGGTGATGCACAAGAAGATGAGGACGTGCCTAAATGGGAACTTTGAAAGAAGCATCCAATCACCATAAGGCCAATTTATGTTCTAATGAAAGACGTCTCGTCGGTGCACAAGTGGTATGACCATGACCAGTTCAAGCCTAAGAATCAAGTTAAAAAACTCCCATCACGCGCTTCTGAGGAGGCCATCACTAGCAAACTCCACCAAACAGCAAAGTAGTATCCAATTGTTGATGCCAATAAATGGTCAAAGGATTGCCCAAAAACATATGAAAAAGGCAAGCCCTTCCTACCAAACCAGGACATCCAGTGCCTAACACTTGGAATGAGAAGGTTCCATGATTGGTACTTGTGTGTTCTCCCAACGAGCATAGACCTCATAGAAGCATGCTTCCCCACTGGCACATTTGGAAGCCCAGCCAAGAAAATTATATTTGACTTCAATGGCATATAGACATGCTTTCACCTCGGAGCAATGGAGATGAATCTAATTCGCACGTGTTGCCTGTAAGTCCTTGTCCTCCTGATATGATATGAATGTAATCTTTGGATTTTGTTGTAACTAACCCACACCGTGATTTGTATAATGCAAGTGCACATTGTAAAACAAATGCCAAGTGTGAAAGCCGGGTATATAGACCCTCAAGCTATAGCACAAACAAATTTTAATTACCTAAACAGTGGAAACTGGATGACAAAGAGCTAGCTGCTGAAAAGACCCTTCGGGAGAAAGAGGACATCCATACAAAGAAACTAAGGGAAGAGCCCCTTAAGGTTTCGGCATACATTGCTCTGGCTTTTAAAATTCTCCAACAGCACTCTACTATATGGCTACCATACAACTTCGAGTAAGTTCAACTCTATACTTAAAGCTTTGTTCGATATATTTTATTCGATGTAAAAGAGCTTATCTAGTTCTATAATTAAATCCATGCAGCAACCACTGGATTTGTATAGGCGTCGATGTCGGGAGGAGCATGGCATGGGCCTTTGATTCAATAGATAGGAACCCGATGACATACAAACACTTTATATCGATTCTCAAGACATTTACATATCGACAATCCTCATTAGCTTATATGTTTGTATACATACTTATAACGTTCACTTTTGGATACTAACAAGTTGTATTTGCTAAAATAATTCGAACATGGCATTTAGGTTCTATGTCACTAAACATCACGGAAAGCATGATCAACAAGGAAGGAAAAGCTGGCTATAAAAACACTATGTGCGGTAAGTGTAACTTACTTCTTCAATACTCCATTACATGGCTGTCAAAAGCATTACTTAACATTTCCATATGCAAAACACACAGTGCCCCAAGCAGAAGCCTGGGAGTGTACATTGTGGATAATATGTATGTTCTATGATGAGTAACACCGGTGCCTATAGGAGACACCCCTTAAGGGTAAGTTTGAACCTCTTTACTCGTAGTATAAAAACTTCATACATGGTATGAAATACTAAACCAAAACTTGTTCTCTTGTAGTAGAAAGAAGAGAAAGAAATGAAAAGAGACCCATATAAGGATGACCAACTCTTAGAGCTCGTCGGCGACCTTTGCAACTTCATATTGGACCAGATTGTACATGTCAAAGGCACCTACCATGACCGAGAGTCTGACTTAGGTAGAAATCCTCAGTACCAACACCTTCGTGAGACCGAAAGGCCAGCTCTAGGCCGTTGATAACAATGTGTATGAAATTTGACATTGGTTTTACCTTGTGAATTATGTATATTTAATGATGGATTGTATATATTCTTGTGAATTGTACTTGTAATTGTAGTTTATATAATACTCTTGAGCGAACGCGGTTCGGAGGCTGTGTTTTGCGAATCGCGGGTCGTAGTTAAGTTTCGCGTGTTCCATGCCGTGGGCGATTCCTGGTCGTGGGGCGTTCGGCGGGATTATCTCGCATTCCTCGCTCACTCGCAATGCGAACACGGGAATACGCGGAAACAAACAGGGCCATATGTGTCGAAATTGAATTATAAATTTGAATTTTTTTTGCGGAAAAATGTACTATAGGGGCGGTTCTAGACTGAACCGCCCCTACAAATAGGTATTATAGAGGCCCCTACAGCTACCCCTACAAATGGATTTGTAGGGGCGACTGATAACACCAGCCGCCTCTACAAATGGATTTGTAGGGGCGGTCTGGGAACCGCCCCTACAAATGCATGATTTATAGAGACGGTTTAGTAGGGGCGGCTGCCCAAACCGTCCCTACAAATCGTCTTGAGCCGCACCTACAAACCCTGTGTGACGTAGTGTGGGAGTAGTTGTCATGGACGACCGATGGTTCACCATCACACTACAGCAGTAGTGCCAATACTGTGGTTGTTGCCGATTTGCTCACCAACCCGTTTCGACGTCATGATCTGACCCCATTTCTCAATGGAAAATCGTAACCACTGCACTCGCGTGCGCTACCTGCATCCTTTGATATAAAGAAACAAAGAACAACATGACTCTCGTAACATTCCAATTGGGCATGGAATCATTATTTAATGAATAAGTTCTCCACAACACTTTGGAGAAATGGAATGGAAATACATGACCCAAGCAAAGTAGGAGTATTGCATCCCACAAAAGCCTTGGCTTGATTAACAACACAGATGGATCCTACCTAGCTGCTCAACTAGATGAACGACACGACGGCCGCCATCTCCATCTTGGCCTTCTCACCGTCGCCTCTGGTTTTGTCGATGAAGTAGACGTGCCCCTCGTGAATTATTTTTATTTTTGACATTTTTTGTAAACTAATTTTAAATCTAACACTGTTTAATTTTTTTTCTAAAACTAACACTTTTGGCCACGGCTATTGCCATGGCGCGGCGAAACGCCTGTGCCGCGCCATGCATGGTGGCGCGGTGAGAGGGGTGACGTGGCGATGGCCGAGCGCTGACCGGTGACGTGTTAGGGTCTACCGCGCCACCGATCTTGGCATGGCACTGACGCGCCATAGCCCACGACGTGGCGGCCCTGTGTAATATCGCCTGAGCCGCCGCCGCCTCCCTCCTCTGCCACCGCCACCGCCGCGCCCGCCGCTCCTTTGGCCATCACCCACCGCCGCGCGCTGCCGCCGCCCCCCACAAGCATCCGCCACACCGGCCACGCCATGAACGCCGGGCGCATCATCACGGCCGCGCCACCCACCGTGCTCAAGACGCCACCATGACTTCGACGCCCGCACGACGACCACGGACGCACGCGACGCACTTGCAAGAAGTGAGTAAGATTGATTAAAGTCCTAATTAAGTGCTAATTTTAGTTTAGACGTTCCTGTAATTAGGTTAATTAAGATCTTGTCTAAGTATAAGTTCTAACAATTAGTATCCAAGAAGCCGCTTAGCCTAATTCTTGAACCCTAAGACCTAATTAGTGTTTGGTTCAGATCTAAATAGCCTCGGATTTGTCCGATTCAAAGTTCTTTAAGCCAAATCAAAATATAGGGTTTCGCTTAAGCACCGAGAAGGAGGGGAGTCGAATCAACTTCAACACTAAGCCCTAGCTTTTGCCCAAATCCAAACCCTAGGAATGCAAATTACCCAAATCCAGTAACAATCCCCAACCCTAATATTAGTAAGACGCTTTTCACTTACCTTAAGAACTAAGATGGCGCCGTCGGGCTCCTTCATGAGTTCGCCGGCGGCCACAAAAGGGAGCCACGCCGCCGCCCTACTATGTGTGTGCGTGGTCTCCGCGCCACGGACGCTCACAGGCATAGAAGACGAGGGTAGCAGGTCCATACATAGAAGTTGCTTATTTTCCTAGTGAAGTTGTTTAATATGTCTGATAATATTACTTTGAATATATACATGTGCTTTCATATTGTGTTCGTATTGCATAACAAGTAGTTCAAATTTTGCAAAGCTACATAATGTTAATTTGAATATTGTTAATTTGAATACTCTAACCCTTTGTTTATCAATTTATAACAGGATGGCCCCTCCCACACAGCATCAGTTGTACCCCTTCTTGAGGTGGAGTACGACGAGCCACAACGAGCACAGTTCTTGACTGACACCGACGCAGAGGTGCCCTTGCCTCCTTTGAGGCCTTGCACGCACACCAAGGCACACCAGTGGGATGAGTGTTATGCGCCGTACATATGGCATGTCGGCTTCCTCGAGCTTGTCCGTGTTGTCAACTACGGTATTCCGTCCCTTGACCCAGCACTACTTACTGTAGCTGTAGACAGGTGCAAGGCCTTCATTGTACGTAAACATTCTTATAACAAATTTGAGACAACTAACAATCGTTCTATTCTTATAACAGGTGGAGGCCTGAGACCCACACGTTCCACCTACCTTGCGACGAGATGACCTTGACCATGCAGGACATGAAGGCTATCTTTGGCCTTCGGTTGGGGGGACTTCCAGTGACAGGTATAGTTGATAACGATCACTGGAGAGAACTGGTGGCTTAGTTCACTGGCTTTCTTCCACTGGACGGCGAGGTTTCCAAGAAAAATAAGTGAGCAATTCAAGCCTATCTAATACTTGCATTGCTTTCCTGCAGCCATCGGGTCTCATTTTCTTTGGTGAATTTTAGGAAAATTTCCGGTGTTTCGTCGTCGTGGATCACAGAGCGCTTTGATTACTTGGACCCATAGGCTAATGAGGCTCAGATCGACAGATTCGCTAGAGTGTGGCTCTAGCACTTCCTTGGTGCTTTTCTATTCTTAGACGCCTCGGGCAACACCATCAACTGGATCTTCCTTGACATACTACGCTAGCCGTGGGATAACATAGCGGCGTATAGCTGGGGCAGCGCAGTCCTGGCATGGACGTATTGATAGCTATGTGTTGCCTGCCGTCGTACCTCAGGGTATGCAAACCTTGGGGGTTGCTCGTACCTACTCTAGATTTGGTGTTGGGAACGATGGCCCGTTGGGAGGCCCCTTGTTACTGGTTTACCGATAAGTACTTCGGTTCACTATATTCTTCGAGGCAGTTACATCTGATGAAATTATTAATGGCTAATTAATTATCGTGTTCAATGCAGCATTGGAACGGGCAGGATACACTCCATACAGCTCTGTATATCTAGACACAAGCAGAGTTAGTTAGAGGAAATGCGAGGCGCAAATACAAGGAGTACACGGACTGTCTCGACGTCTTGACACAGCACCAGGTTACACTCTCTTTACTATCATACATGTGTCTGTTCTACGTACACTATATCACAACCTAACTCAATTACGAAATGTTCAGGTGCATTGGTGTCCTTGGGATGCTCTGGAGCTCCAATACTATCTGAGTCCTGTCACTAGGGATGAGTCAGACGAGTATCGCTGCAACGTCCCTCTTATTTTCTTCCACGTGGTCGAGATTCACTTGCCCATCAGGGTTTACATGTAGTTTGGAAGAATGACAAGCTACCCATCACCGCTTTACTCCACCAACCAAGAATTACACGAGTGCATTATCGATTAATAACAAAGCTACAATTTAGAGGTGCGTATGGTACAACTAACAATCGTTTTGTTGCAGGTATGACCACAGTAAGAGGTACAAGATCAAGGATTGGCGCGTGACACACAACGTGTACATCCAGTTGTGGTAGAACAGGGACCGACAACCGGTCGATGCGGGCCCCCCACACGACCAGCACACCTTTGACGAGTACCTGCGGTGGCTTCACATGTCTATGAGGACACATATCAAGCCCCCGAACACTGAGGACGTGATTGACGAGGACGACGAGGAAGATGTGATCGAAAATGTGTACGACGTTGCCACTAGGGACGACACACAACTACAGAGAGCCCCACTTCAAAGATACATGGTAAGATACTCGAATGGTATAATTTGTTATCCATTTGATATTAAGTATGTGTACTAAGACTGTCCAACCGCGTTTCTGTACCCAGGCGACACAATTGTGAAGGCTGTCCAACGAAGCAACGTTTTGGCTTCACGAGTCTAGAGGGTAGGGGCCAGGCGTTCTCGAGGCTTTTGTGGAGGTAAACATAAACTTGTCCATTCTAAAAATGTTTCTTTACTGTATATGCGTTTGAGAAATGCACTAACTTTAACGTCTATTCATGTAGAATGTGAAGCGGAGCTGTAGAAAGCTATCTCAGAAGTTGAGCTGCATGGACACTCCTTGGGTGGAACCCGATTACCCGGCGTGGTCGGGTGGCACGTCTTCTGGCTCTTTGAGGACACCAGTCGGCTCTTCTCAGCCGGTGACAGGTGCCGCTTCCGCAGTGCGTACCACCACATCATAGCGCTAGGAAGGACCCTACAAACGAGGACGACGACGACCCCTCAGGCTTCCGCATACAGCACCACCAGTGGGATGATTGGTAACAGGACGAGATCGGCATGTCTCAGCTAGGTGGTGCCCCTCTTGGCTCCATGAACTAACGATCATAAAGATTATAAGTAATCGTGCATATCATATACTTGTAGGGTACAAGCCGTACGCACCGGCAACGCGACCACACCAACGTTGGTTACACTCCCAATGTGTTGTCTATAAATCCGAAGAGACAGAGGCGTCCGAGGGATCCTTACACTCCTAGGAGTTAGTTGGTTATGTCGAACTTATGTCAAACAAATATTGTCGTCCGAAACTTATGTCGAACAAATATTATGTGGCAACATGTCAACTTACGCACGGACTCCATTTATTTGCTTCATATTAGTTTCAATGTGTCGCGGCAGCACTGCCGGCGAGATTAACTAGCAACTAGTTCGGGAACCGGCAGTCCCGGCGTATCTCGCCGCCGGTGGCCGGCGTCTTGACCCCGATCATCCCGAGCTTGGTCATCGCCGCCACGAAATCGCCGAAGAAGGCACCCTGGTTGGACGCGTATTAGTCAACCGTGCTGCGCGACCTCATGTCGGAGTAGAGCACCTAGTCAGAGCCCAGGAGGCCCTTGCCGACCTGCAGGTTCCGGTAGAAGACGTTGTCGAAGCCCACCGATGAGGGGTCGAGGAAGGTGAAGGCGTTGGGGTCGAAGTTGCAGGTGTCGTTCAGCTACGACGCGAAGTTAGGGTCCATGGTTGCGTCGTTGCCGATCCTCACCGACAGCAGTTCCCGTTCAATTGCAATTGAGGCTGGTCTTCTGTCTGCGTCCAGGTCCTGCCGCGACGTGGGCCTTGGTGCGTCGGTGCCATGCCGTGGGCTATGGTGCGTCAGTGCCGCGCCAAGATCGGTGGCGTGGCAGACCCTACCACGTCACCGGTCAACGCCCGGTCGTCGCCACGTCACCCCTCTCGCCGCGCCACCATGCATGGCGCGTCACAGGCGTTTCGCCGCGCCATGGCAATAGGAGCGGCCAAAAATGTTAGTTTAAAAAAAATTAAACAGTGTTAAATTTAAAATTAGTTTAAAATACGTTTAAAATAAAAAAAAATCCCCCTCGCCTTGGGTCTCGTACAGCACAGCCTCCTCCTCCGCCCACGCGCTTCCCCTCAGCGCGTCGACGTACCGCCGGCCTCTGTCCCTCATCGTGTCAAGCTCAGCCACGGTCACCAGAGCACGCCGGCAGCCGAGCTTCGTCCACTCCTCCATCGGCAAAGCCAGAGGATTGAGGAAAGGGTGGTCGATCCCGTACTGCCCACCACTCACGAAGCCCCATGCCCGCTGCACCCTCTGCAGGAACGTGGGGTCCGTGCCCTCCGACCAGTGGCGGATGCACGATGCAGGATAAGGGGGGGCTAAAACAATGGAGATGTTGATTTACATGAAGATTTAATGGTGAAATCAAGCTTTTGCTACATTGATTAGGCTTGAAATCAAGACATTAGGGGTGGAGCCTGAGCCCCCCTTTGGATCCGCCACTGCCTCCGACGGCAACAGCTCCCCGCCGCGGAAGTACGGGTGCAGGAGCACCATCCCCTCGATCCTCGCTCCGCCAGGCAACCCGCTGCCGCCGGCCCTCAGCGTCACAATGTGGGCGATGTTGGCGCCGGCGCTGTTGCCCGCGACGAAGAGGCGCGTGGCGTCGCCGTGCTCCGCCAGCCACGGCTCCGTGTCCGCCGTGTCCGGTCGGGAGCCGGACGGCCCCGAGCAGCTCACCACGGCCCAGCCGAGCGCGGCCCAGGCATCGTCGTAGGCGTCGGGCACCGGGTGCTCGGGCGCGAGGCGGTAGTCCACGGACACGGCCACCACGCGGGCCGCCGCCACGAGAGCGTTCAGGAAGCGGGACTGCGCGCCGGAGAAGGCCGAGTGCACCGCGAAGGCGCTGCCGTGGAAGTAGACGAGGAGGGGCAGCTTCTCGGGCGTACCGAGGACGTCGCTCGGTATGTAGAGCCGCGCGGCGAGGCCAGCTCCGGAGTCGATAGCGACGTCCCGGGAGGTGACCCCCGAGGCGGCGTCCGCGCCGGCGTCGACCCTGGACGTGCCCATGAGGCGGCGCACGCGGCCGCTCTTGTAGCGGATGAGGAACGGCGAGAAGTCGAAGTCGACCTCGGCGTTCGGATCCATGGAAGGCGCGGGGGGCGGGAGATGTGGTGGAGTCAACGGCAGCAAGAGCGCGATCCTAGCTGCGCACCCGTACGAGCAGAGCAGGAGAGCCCTCTCTTTTTGGCAGTAAAAATCATCCGCTGGTCCAGCGTGTGGGTGTGGCACTGGCACGGGCTGTGGCAGTGTGGCACCTGTCTCACCAGCTTCGGATTCGATACGCAATCATCAACCAATCAGGCACCCACATCAACACAATACCAAATTCACTGAAAAGAACGTCGCATTTGGAAGCATCCAGAATATCACGAGCTTGTGGAGGGAGAGGACAGTGCATTGCCAAGAAGGTGGGGGCCGAGGTGATGCCCACAACTGCATACCCCCGTTGAGGCCCCGTCCTCTTCTGAGAGGTGCCTTCCATGGTGACATCGACTTCTCCGGCGATGACGTCCGTTTTCTACAGTTCACGTCACAACAGCTTCTGCTTCTACAGTTGCACTCCATGTTTTCCATCAGTATACGCGATAAACAAGATCAGGAGTCAGAGCCACTATAGCCATAATGTGGATTGTCAACGGTGGCAGCAGTAAAGTGGTCACTAGAGCGAGCGCGACGTCCACAAACCACGGCAGCACTTGCTTGCAGAACTTTGATCGAGTGCGGTGACCTCGGTTCAAAGCTGTATGAATACCCTACAAGTGCGTGCCATCCGATTAAAAGCCAGCACCTTTAATGCAGAAAATGGATCATGATCCTACAGCATGCCTGCCCGTAAAATTCTTCCCCAGTCGCTACTTGGTAGGATAGAATAGTCTATATCCGAAATGCAAGCCGTGACACACATTTGATGGTCCATAATCTATGCCTCTTCTCGACAGTGCGCCCAGCTTTAAGCGACCCAGGCCCAAGTCTACTAGGCAGGCAGGCAGCACTACCCAGTCCTAGAATAGCAGCCTCCCATAACACGTCTGCTGACGAGCTCAAAACGACGACCTGATTGCTGCTGCCGATCGAGCCGGAGCCGAGCTCGCTCTCCTCCGTCAGTGGCTCGATAGGCCGGGAGATCGCGCCGAAAGGCGCGGCGGCCGATAGGGAGAGGGACAATCATTTCGGCCGCGGGTCGGGGGAGGGACGCTCGGCGTTGGCGCGTCATTTCAAGTGCTGGTCGGCGCGGCTGGCTATTCCGTCACCGGAGGGGCTGATTGGTCGCCGGAACCAGACCATTCTTGTACTATTTGCCTGCTTTAACTCATTTATATGTCGTGTTTGGTTCTCCGCCTCGCACGTTTTGCTTGCTTTATTTTATTCCGCTGCCCTCCACCATCCCGCACGACTCTGTCTTCTCAATTTTCACTTCTCTCGCGATGCAGGACGACACGATATACCCATGATATAAGAGTTCATGTGTCACACACTTAAAACTCTTATCCATGCATACAATCAAACAAGATCACATCTCATACTGGGCCAACAATAAAAACAACCAAACACGACTGGATGTACGATTTGAACATGCATCTCACAGTCATGGACTATCTCTCCATCCCAGCTCTCCATCGCCAAAGCAACCAATCACGCCCGGAGTGATCGCCGCCTGCCGCGCGAGGGGTACCACTGCCACTGCTAGTTCGAGCAACTCTTTAGATGCAGCACGAGCCAGCCAACAGTAACCCCCCATGTCCATTAATGGAGCACCTTTCCGTTTCCAAGCTCCAGTGAAACCGACGTACGGAGTATATATTTACCCGGTCGCAGTAATAAACGAGTGGAAGTTACATGTGACTGCGGTCACAAAGAAGGTAAAAAAGGACGTGCACGTTACATGCTAAACATCTCTCTGGCCACTGACAAAATACAGTATACGGTATGATGGTCGTTACAGATGTCACCACTCACCAGTGACGACGACTATAGCTACGTACAGGGCTGATCGATCATACGTGTATCGGAGATTCGGAGCAGCGTTACCACGCTGGCTACCAACAAGAGCTAGCCCAAGTGAGCCATTAGCTGCCGTTGATGAACGCGGCGAGCGTGGCCATATGCATGGCGGCCTTGGGCGAGTCCAGGTTGTTGAGGAAGTAGCAGTGGCCCTCGCCGGGCGTCACGTACAGGCGCGCCTTCCCGCCCCACCCGCTAGCCCGGAGCGCGTCCACGTACGCGCGCTGGAACGGGCCGAGCCGGTCCTGGTCCGACACCGTCATCAGCAGGCGCGGGGACGGGAGCCGCCGCCACACCTCCGCCGGCAGCGCCGCCATCGGGTCCACGTACTGGTGGTCCATCCCGTACCGCCCCGCGCAGATGAAGTCCCACGCGCGCTGCGCGCCCCCGCTCACGTACCGCCCCAGGAAGTACGGGTCCAGCAGCGCCACGCCCTTGATCCTCGCGGCGGCGGCGGCGCCCTGCGGCTGCTGGCCCGCGCGCATTGCCAGGTTGTGCGCGATGTTGCCTCCGGCGCTGTCGCCGGCGAGGAACAGGCGGGAGGCGTTGCCGTGCTTGGCGAGCCAGGGGTCCCCGCCGCGCCGCGCGTTCTGCAAAACCCACGCCAGCGCCGTCCACGAGTCGTCGTACGCCGCCGGGAGCGGGTGCTCCGGCGCCAGGCGGTAGTTCACCGACACCACGATGACCCCGGCCTTGGACGTCAGCGCGTTCAGGTAGTTGTGGTACACGGGGTCGAACGCTGACTCCACCACGAACGCGCCGCCGTGGAAGTAGACGAGCACGGGGAGCCTGCCGCCGCCGGTGGCCACGGCGCGGCGGCTCGGCCGGTACAGCCGCACCGCGAGGCCGGTCCGGTGGTCCACGACGACGTCCCTGGAGACCACCCCGGTGCGCGAGTCCATGGACGCCGGGACGAACGTGGTGCCCATGAACCGCTGCACGCGGCCGCTCTTGTACTGGATCAGGAACGGCGAGAAGTCGAACTTCACCTCCATGTTGGGGTCCGTCGCCCTGCTGCGGAATGCCGACGCTTCCACCACCTGTCCTGCTACCCTCGCCGCCGCCTCCCCTGCTCCGAACAACATCGCGCAGAAGCAGAGCGCGGCGACGAGCAGGAGGACAGGGGAAGCCATGGCCACGAGGCACGATGTGTGCGTGGTGGCAGCGACGAATGAGTGACCGCACACTGTTCTGCGTGCGCGCCGCGGATGTATGTGCCTGCGCGTCCAAATGCCGCCCGGGGCTCGCGCGCTTATATGCACGGAGAGCCACCGGTTCGGTGCGGGTGCGTCCGGCACGAACGATGGGGCCGGGCCGCGCACACGCGCGCGCGAACTAAAGTGCCTGGGCATGCCACGGGCTGGTGGTGGTGCGGAGGGCTTCCGCGGGACGCGACCGGTGGCGTGCGCGCGCGGGCGTGACAATGCGGCGGCGTGGCCGACGTATCATGTGTCCGCCTCACACTGTTGCGACGGTTTGGTTTGGTCAATGCGCCGGCCCGGCCATCCGTCGCCGTTCGGCGTTCCAGCAGTGGGGTGGTGGCAGCACTGCGCACTACTGGCCACTAGCGATCGGTAACCATCGGACGGTTATTGCTCCAGTGAGTGAGTGCTTGGAGCTGTCGATGCGTTTGTCGTCGAGCCCAACTGACTCAGCTCACGCAGTAACCGGCGCCGAGCTAACTAACTCCTGCTGGTCCAAGGTCATGCGGCCATGGCGTTTTCCACCGCGCGCTCCTCCACGGACGTACAGCGTCACGGGACGAGGCGAGCGATCCGTGGCGGAGGCTTTGCGCCACTGCTGGCACGGTACGGTACGGTACCCCGGGTGTGTGTATCGGTAGTCGGTAGGTTGATTTTGGAGCGTTCCGGTTCCGCCGTGCTCGTGCGGTGTCGCCGCGGTGGCTCGCTCGTCCTCCGTCCGCCCAGCCCGCCCGCCGGTTCTAGAACCCAGATCCAGCATGGCATTTAAGGTGCCATTGGTGCCTGCGACTGGGGACGGGGCCACGCACTTGCTACCTGTAGCTGTAGGCTGGTTTCTCCCCGTCGTGCACTGCCACCGTCTGTTGCGTTGCGGCAGGCCAGGCCATGCCGGCCGTTTTCAGAGCCTAGCAGGCTAGCACCCGTAGTACTTGTGGCGCCCCATCAATGGATGCTGGCGTTTCACTGCTACTGAAAGCTACACACGGATACGGTCTCCATCGCCACTGTGCTGATGCCGCCATCCACTAGCCGAAAAGCGACGCAGGTGACGCTGCTTGTAATGCTGTTCCATTACTCGCAGTTTAACCTGCAGAACTGCAGGACTCCCCACCCCAGTGATTCCGAGTACCTGCTGCGCTCGGCCTCCTTTTAGGTTTGCGGACGCTTGCGGGACGTTTGGAGCTTTTGGAACGGTGAATGCTCCGCCTGTACAGTACTGCTGCGAGTGCGAGGCGCTAGCGGAGGCGGCGGCCGGCGGATGTGCGGAAAGGATGGACGAATGGCCCCGGGAAACGCCATGCGCATGCATGCGTGTCTGGTGGTCTGAACTCTTGGTTTTCAGGCGATGTTGAGAGCGTGACGACGGACGAGTGATGGGCGCAGCAAACCTTAACGGCAGCGATAGTCATGGCGTCTGGGATGCGACGCAACAGATTTCTGCTTTCGTCTTGGAAGGTATGGGAATGGATGAGCGCGCGATAAATGTCAACCTACTATCGTCCCGTGGAAAGTGGTAACTGAATGTGACGAGAAGTACTGCATCAACATCAATGCGTCATCTTGGTCCCCGTTCGTCTCACATCTAGTATCAGCAAACGGTACAGTGTGCAGACTTCTAAAAGTAATCGAAGGGAAATGAATTATATTAATAGCACAGTTACATTTCTGTTTACGTGCAACCCTTTGAACGTAAAGGTATATGCACTAGAGCATATCCGCTGCCCCCTAATAGCAATCTTCACCTCTAAACTACGTTCGTTGACGACTATCGAATTCGAACATGTCGGAAATCAATAACGTTGACAATAGCCAAAGGAGCATAACCCTCCAATCACCCTTCGTGACAGACACCAAAACTTGGAAACACCGTATGATCCCACG